GTTATCCAGCACAGCGGGGACAACCAGTTTCGCCTTCCGCACTTGGGTAAGGACGCTTTGAGACGCGCGGGTGCCTTGATGATGTGTCCTGTCCTGTGGCGCTGTTGGCCTAGCTCGTTGCAATTCCGACCGTATCCTTTTGTAACCAATAACATGCAAGTATTTCTCCTTTGGCCGATCACAATAAATGCCACCTGTAATGTGGAAAAAGTCGATTTTGAAATGCCACCAGTAATGTGAAACAGAGGAAGTAATTGATTTTGATAGTTATGAGTTGAGCAATCGCTGAATTGAGTGAAACAATGCCGGTATGGTTCCAGCAGTTTCGAATGGTTGTTGATGTGACACAATCCCAGGTCTGAATTGACCATTTCATGGCCGTCAACACGTCGACGGCGTACATATTCTTCACTCCACTGTCAATTGCCTCGGTAACGCCATCAACCAGCTCTATCACATGGTCAAGCTGACAACGTTTATAGTGCCGCTTGAAAGCAGCAATGATGCCCGCGTCCATGTGTCGAAGGAAGGCGGTCGTGTTTGGGGGGAGCATAAGCAGTCTCATATTGGTAAGGATAACATCCAATGGATTGTGCGATGATGTTTTGTCCAGAATGAGTAGGACGGACCTGTTCTCAGTGGTCATTTGTAATTTCAAACAAGCCCCACAAACTTTTTATCAATCATTTTACACAGGTAATTGATTTTGAGTAGGGAGCAAACCTTGAGCACTGTATAATGAACATTTCAAACCGATTCGACTGACAAACAAACAACTCAAACGTATCATGTTGTACATGTCTCCGACACGGGGAGAAAGGGTATTTCTCAAGATCGTCCCACGAGTCGAAATATTTCTCACGATCGGCCAAGTTGAACCTTCGCGAGGTATTATTACAGTGTATTCATACTGGTCCACCGATGCATGATTGGCCAAAAGCCGCAAGTGCATAAAAACCGCGGAAGAAAGTCCCAGGGGGGGTTTATAGCTCTCCATTCCAGAATTTCAGCGGTCCCCAGCAAAGACCGACCGCACCCGCCGTCCACAGCGCCACACCAAGCGCGACAGCCACCGAGCGGTATGACCCAGCGACTTTCGATCTATGCTCATGTACACCTGGTCCATCATGCCAGGCATCTGCGTCCTCCGTCTCATGAGACTTTTAGCCAATCATACCGCGATGGACGATTTGGAATAATAATACTGATCTCCCCCCCTAATCGAAACGGTCCACTTTATGCTATTTGTACAATCTACTCCCTCTGTTCCAAAATTGTTGTCCGACTCAGAAAAATGGCGTACTCCTCCCGTAATATTATTACTTGGCCTTTTAATTTTTATACTACTGTATTACAGAGGTTATTGTACTATACTTCTACAATGTATGGTGGTGTGTGAGTGGTAAATCTCCGCATAACCATAATCGGCAAAAGCTGCAACACAAGAAGCTCAGCTTCGTGCATTACATGCTATGTACTCGACGTCATCAGTTATACTAAGCGATCGACCAAATGTCACAAACCCTCA